GACTCAGGACTGTTTTGAGAAATTTCTTCGTCTTTTGTTCTTCACCAAATGTATACGTTCTTGGTCTTTTGTTCGACACCAAATGGTATACATTCATTACAATTATCAGCAAATTATAAAAAGAGGAAGCTGTTGGCGAGATTTAAGTACGATGTCCCCTTAGAAGGGACAGCCGAGTGCAAAGAGTTAAATGTAAATAATATCGTTCTACAGATGGTGTTACTCTAAATCGATTTTACGACACTTGAGCTGCGAATACCGGCGTTCTGTTGATTTCCCACAAACTTCACTCACTAAATTCATGACAAAATTATAAATTTATACTCGAGTTAAAATGTGAATTTTTGACGACTATAACGCGGTTATCAAGGTGCGATTTGAAAGTTTAATCTCTTCAACGATTTGTCATTTAAAGCTACCCTTCCTCGAGTTCTGATTGTCTCTGCGGTATTCAAATTTCATATTGATACAAGTTCAATTCATTTCCCGACAAGCTCGACAAACACGAGTAAAAAACGGGACTGCGCGTGGATCTCGTTGAACGAACGCGAAACGAACCGGAGAGAGAAACACTCGAGTATCGCCGAACGAACTTATCCCGGCGACGGGAATAACGAATAAACGGAGCCCTCCGTTTCTTCGGAGTTTACTATCGTGACAAATGGATACACGTCAATCCTGATTTTACGCAGCCCTAGATAGCAACTCCTTCGCTTATGTATCCTTCGCGCGCGCGTTTTAGCCGTGTGACACGTGTCGATGCAGCCGGTTGCAAGCATATCGAGAGGCTGCGTCTCTATTTTTGCGGGCTGACGATATCCGAGCGCGAATAATGTGACGTGACGGTTGAGAGAGCGCCCGCGATATCGGCACATTATCATTATTGCAGGATATCGCGGAATAAGTTTCCGCTTTGCATCGACAGATGCAACCCGCGCGGTGGAAGTCCCGCGAACGCCATTAGCGAATCGAAACGTTCGAAGACCGCCAAGTCGTCGTGGTGAGAAACACGCTCGGGAAAGAGGAGAGGAAAGAAAGATAAGAGAAAATTAATTCGAATCGCTTGTGCTTCTCTTGATTCGATGTACAGGGTCACACATTTTAAGCTATAAATGCAATTATCTCTTAATCAAAATACTCATTCATGTCATTTAACAAAATGTCTCAAATGCATTTTTTTCCTTTTCTTTTTCTGTTTTGAGAGGGCAGTAATTTGGTTCACTTAGATTGCCTCTAGATAGACATAGATACATGTAGGAGATACGAAGGTCGCTATTATTTTTTTCAAGTATAATTATGTAATTCTTTTCAAGTTGATCGATGCAGCAGTTTAGGAGGTTTACTTCAACTTTAATTTTATAAAATCTATCATATGAAAGACGAAGAACAAACGTAGTATTCTTGTATTCATACTGTTCTTATCTTTCATGCATAGATTTTATAAGAAATATCTCCTCAACTAATGAGTTTTAAACGTAAACAGGTTAATACATTCTTGTGTAGTACGACATGCTGCATCGATTGATGCAAAAAATTACGTAATTATATTATACTTCAAAAAGTACTAGTAATCTGCGTTTAGAAACAGGAAAAATGCAAGAAAAATATTTAAGACATTTTTTGAATGAGAAATAGTTTCGGAAATAATTGAATTTATAAATTAAAATATCCTCTATTTTTTTGGACGAATGCAACTTGTTTGTTTCGATTTGTATCCTTCGAATGTATCTTGTATATGCCGCAGTAAGGTTATTACGGGAGAAGATCGTTTAATATATAGTCCGAGGCGATTAGAAAAATGATACGCTTATTAATTACGTCGCAACAAAAGTATTGCATTAACAGTATTTTTTATCCTGTTCTTCGTTTCAGGCATTTGTCATTCATTTGCACTTCATATATTCAAATATACGTAATTAATTTCCTTTATATTGTTATCGGTGATTGTTAAAATAAGCTTTAAGTCTGCTGAAGTCATAGTTCTTGCTTTTACGAAGGCTTGGACGAAGCATGCCTTAAACTTGGAGACTCAAGCTGCCTAAATTGTGCGCGATGATTATTATAAACAGTATCGTAAACTCGAAGTACCAAATGTGTCAACTGTGAGTCTCAAAGTCTCGATCTTAAAGCTTTGCGATATTAATTTCAAAAACTCAGCCGTTAAAGTTGAGTCTCGAAGCTCGTTGAGACTCAAGCTACAAATGTATATCAATATTTTGATGCTAGACGCGTGGGGACGACGAAATGTGAAATTTAATATTGATTTATAAATAAAGTTGATTGTCGAGTAGAATTGAAGACGTCAGTTCGTTTGAAATCCGTCCAATAATAATGACGTTTATCGATAGAATAACTTTTCCATCGTATATTTCTAAACGTATCGTTGTCATTACTTTTGATCAAAGTTCGCAGACATTATTCGTTCGCTATCCACTTCTCTCTCTCTCTCTCTTTCCCTTCGCTATCGCGACGCAAGTGTGTCACGCTTTATTTCTGCGGCTTTGATCGAACTTTTCCCCAATATCCTGCCTGTTTATTTGGAAACTTCAAAGATCGCGACGAATAGCTGTAACACGTAACAGGGAACGGCACTCACCACAAACGCCCTGATTCTTCACTCGTACAGTTCTTTTCTCGAAGCAGCTGGTTTTCCGTAGATGGCAATAGTTGGTGTAGGTCACGTTGTCGGAGCCGCAGACAAGTTCAGAAGTCGAAGGACAATCTGTTGGACACTGGCACAAAGGTTTCCCGTTCTCCAACACGGCGCACGTCGCGCCCCAAGAACAGTATGTCTTCTCGCAGGGTTCTGAAAACGAGAATGCGATTGATTCGTAGGACACTTGATACATATCGCTATATATTTCGTTCAATGCACAGCAAAAAGTGGAGAATAGAAACGAAAGGTACAATGATGTTTCGTGCTATGTACACGTTACCCTGAAAAACTCGATGATCGACGTAAAAATCGCTTGTACGTAACTTTTGTCGAAGCTCACGTACGAATCGTAATTCGACGGATGTTATTCAAATTCCAGCGCAATGAATAGAACTTATCCCGACTCGATAAATAGAATTTATGTTATCGATAAATAGTTTATTTATTTAACATATTCAAACGAAGAAATGACAACCTTTGAATTTCAATTCGTGAATTCGAGGCAAAGTCACGTTAATCATGCTGAAATGAAATACTTATTTATTAAGTAAATTAAGCAAATTAAGTCACGTTACAAGAAATATTTATTTATTAGGTAAATATCGGTTAAGAAAATCTTGAAAGAGATGGAACATAAACCGATGTGGAAGGTCGAGCAAGAAAAGTTAAGATTTAATCGAATAGTAAAATTTCGTTGCGAAATTTTACTTCGCGTATCAACGTGATTACTCGTAACACGAGATCGCCATCACGATTTATTTCAGTCTCGTCATTCGTGGCGATCAATCAATCCATCGTATCGATAGCCAACGTAGGGAGAAACATTTGAGTTTCGCCAATGCCATTTTACCATTGTTCCCATCCCGTTATATTTACGACTTTTGTGTAATCAATGTGATCATTTCAATAATCATTCACAATCATTTCGTAACCAATCATCCCACAAAATAAGTTATCGTTAAAGTTGTTAGGAACATAATTAGGAACATAAGAAAATCCAAAGAGAGTTGCAGAATTAATCACGGAGAGTATCAATTATTTACTTTCATATATACTTTGATATACACTTTGTACAAAAAGACTGATGTATAAGAGGCAGAATATATGTAGCCAACGAATAAAAAAATGATAGAGAAGAAAATATGCTGCTCATGCAGATTTCGAATAATAACACGACGTCTCAGCGTCGAAAAAGAAAAATCGCTGTTATTACACAGACTGTTAGTATTTCTCGTATCATTCGTATGATTTATGGCGTTAAATAATAATTTCTGCTGTTATTGAGTATAAAAAAACAATCAAGAGATTCTACATGAAAAGTGAGTAACTAAACTTAAATAATAAAATGTCAGAACAGTCGCTAATATCGCAGAGGATATTACGAACAAATATTATGTCAGCCATGATCTCTTGGAAAGAATGAGAAGATTCAAACTGATTGGGCTCTTTCTAACGTTAGATGTGACACAATTAAACTAACCGGATTGATATAGTTTCTGTTTATAATTCAACGTATAATTCTTAATTGAACAATACGTTCGAAAATTATCTCGAGCGATTAGCTCCGTGATTCGCCGACCGTGAATGTATCGCTCACCAAGATGTTACATTTAATATCTGCGACTAAGAAACCGTTGCAGCAAACAAGCTCGATTACAATCCCTTTGTTTTCGTTTCCTCAGAGAGGAGTGTGGAGAGGGGAGGGATGAAGGGGATTCGACTCGATGTAAAGCCGATTCGCGACGAGACAAGTTGGCCGAGCATTAATTCGACCGGCAAGAACTCAACACCGAACCCAAATCTTGCCAATAAGAGACTCATCCTCTGTGATCCGTCATTCAGCGTTTGCGCTTCAAGCATAAGCAGCTTTTCATGTAATCGTTTCGTATTTCCGCTGGCAAAGTGGCTGCGCAATTTTTTCCCCCTTGACATACGGTTCGCAACTAACCGAATATCCAGACCATCTGGAGGGAACACGCGGACTTGCATCTCGAGACGATCCCCTTTAACGAGATCCGCAGGGAGAAAAACTAGGAGACATTATTCGCAACAAAGCTCCGCTTTAAATCGAATGGGGGAGAGGGGAGGTAATTCAAAGTAAAAAGAAGTCGCACAACTGAATTACCGCGGCGGAAATTCGTGTTTCGAAGACACTTTGTCCTGTACTCCCGGCGGCGGCCATCGATAAGAAAACACCAATTAAAAGAGAATCGTTCGGCAGAGAATAATTAGC